TTACTTTAGGGGTTTTTCATTTCAAATTGTACAATAAAGTATGCTCATCTTAATCTTCTTTACTGGCATGTAATTGAACCCAAACTCAACCACTTTTAAGTGTTAAAAATATTTACATATTAGATAATTAATGTTCAATGAACTAAACTGATTTTTTTTCGCTAATCCAATTCGAGCTAAACTTGTTAAACTTACACATGGCAAAATTTCCATTAACCCACTAACTCCATTCACGTCACCCGCTTAAAATCAGTCACGGATGAGACAACCTAGTGACTAATTAAATTCATTATTCATTTTTTTCTCAAAAAAAAAAAAATTCATTATTCATTTTGAGTCAAGTTAGTTTTCTTGGCGAGTACAACTAGTTAATTGGGGCACTGATCAACGTGCACAAACATCTTAAGATTTTATAACTTTGCTAATTTTTCTAAGGATATATTTAAATTACAGTTGTGAAAATCTTTGATGTCTCTTTCACCATTTTATAAGAAAAAAAAAAATGAATATCACTTTGTGTAAAGTTAGAATTATGTTATTTTAATAAATATTTATAAAAAATAATTAGAATCATTTATTCACAAAACATACTAAGGGCATCTTAATTAATTATAGGGGCTTTTGTAGAGTCTCTTCAAATTTTACATAGTCATAATTTGTATCAGTTAATTTAACAAATATTTAGAAATTTTGAGGAAGATTTTTTTTTTCCAATAAGGGGATTTGCCTATGCCTATTTCTTAAATTTAATTTATTTTTAAGTAAAAAAAAAAAAAACCAAAAAGTTAGGGAATACCATCTCCCTATAGAAAAATTCTTCAAATACAATGAGATATTAAGTTAGCAAAATACTTGTTCACTAATATAACAACACTCAATATGTATGGCCTCCACTTATAATTACAATGATTAATTTATTATAATTCACTGATTATTTATTTGCATATGGATGACATAAATGTTGATAAGTTGCAATACATGAAGACTTAATTTTATATGAACCTTCTCTTCAAAACTCATTCCTTTAGTACTACACGCTTGTACTAATCTTATTAAATTTTTTTATTGATTTTATCATTATTAAAATTATCTAAGAGTACAATACCAAATATTTGGATTAAACTTCTATAAAATTATTATTAAAATTGTCTTATTTTATTTACGATGGTTACAAAAAAAAAAAAGAAAGAAACTTATAACTCTAATACACCCTATTTTAGAGTATATTGAGCTAACACTAAAAGTGTAATTGTATTGATTTTCTTAAAATTTGTTTATAAATGACTTGAACAATCAAAGTTAAAAATTTCTTTTTGTTATCATAATTTAAAATTTCTTTTTGTTATCATAATTTAAAATTTCTTTCAACGTAATAAATTTATGAGAGAGCAAATTAGTTAGAAACAAAATTTTGCTTATAAGTTATAACGTGCATGCTTAAAAATAGGAGGGCAAAAGAGAGAACACAAAAAATCCGCCTCCCAAAGTCCATTTGTTTGTTTTCCATCCTACACCCCTACCCTTACATGGAAAGCCTCTAATAAAAGATAATAACCACTAGCCCACTTAGATGTTCTCTCCAATCCAAAGTCCATTTGTTGGTCGTGGTTCTTTACCGTTTCTTTCCGTTTTCGAGTCGCAGTCCTCTGCTGTACCGACAAACCAGTCCGTGTAAAACCCCTCCTCAGTCCTCACACCTAATTTGCCCGCCCCATTTTTTCTCGTCTGCCGAAATCCAGAGGACAAGCACTTCATTCGAGATCCAGTAAAAAACCCAAAACCTACACTATCTCGTCTACTCCACGCTCCTCATATCCTGTCTTGAGACGGATCTGTGATCACACGTGGCATTAGATCGCGTGAGTCCAAAAATTCACCATCCCAAAATATTGTACTGCTGAAGCACGGCTCTTTTTGTGCACCCACACGCTTTTCTTTACGCGTCGCTGCCCACGAACGCACTCCGCACCGTACACCTGTAAGCTAAGCTGGTATATAGAGAAAAAAAACCCAGAATTTTTTAGAGAGAGAATATTTGAAGAGAGAGAAACTGAAGATCTGAAATCGAAGAACAAGGTAAGGTAAAACGAGCTCAAAATTTCGGAAAAGTTTTTCTTTTTTCTTTGATTTTGTGTGCATAGATTGATAAATATGTCTCTGGGTGTGTATGTGGGTTTAGATTAGGGTTGGGTTAGAGTAGATCGAAGGGGTTTTCTGGTTCTTCGTTGGAGTGGAAAAATTTTCGGGGGTGTGAGGATTGTGGAAACCCTAGTTTGAGTTGATTTGAGGGGGGAGATTTGGGTTTTTATTGGGAGATAGTAAAGCCCTTGTTTTTTTTTATTGATTTCAGGAGTGAATTTTCTGATATAAGAAAAATTAGGGTTTTGGTTGAGATAGCAAAACCCTAGTTTTCTATTTGGGATAATTGATGTGTGTATGGCTTCGGAGACAGTAGTTGGAGAAGGAAATGATGGAACTAGAGAGAAGCAGAGGTACATGGAGAGCAAGGTGTATACAAGAAAGGCATTTAAGGGTCCCAAGAACAACACAACTATAAACAAGAATAACAACAGCAGTGTCAATGACGATAGCAACAACAATTCCGCCAACAATGTTCCTGTCTCCATGACTGCAGTACCAGTGAACGATGAGAATGAAAAGAATAATGTGAATGACTCAGTAAAGGGACCTCTTCAAGCTCTGCCTTCAGAAGATGCTAATTCGGCTCAACAACAGCTCCTTTCTTGCATGGATATTGCTGCTTCCAATGACTCTTCGAGTCTTAACAGGCAGCAGAGCGTGGCAGAGAATGGCACGGTGAAGCCCAGTGAAGAGAACCAGCTAAAAATAAATTTGGCGTCAACTCCTAAGCAGGAGATTCGTCAACTGAGAAGGAAGCTAGAGAGTGAGCTTGATATGGTGAGGAGATTAGTGAAGAGGATTGAAGAGAAAGAGGGGCAGATTAGTGAGGTCAGTAATTCACACATTTTACCACATGATGGTGTTGATAATGGACAGAGGATTCAATTGGAAGTTGCTTTGGTTGGCACTCCTCATGAACCTGTACGGCAGTCAAGGCCTTTGAACCAGCTGAATATTTCAGTGCTGGAGAATACTCAGGGTGTTGTTGAAAACGTGGAGAAGGAAAAGAGGACACCTAAGGCCAATCAGTTCTATAGAAATTCTGAATTTTTGCTGGCCAAAGATAAATTTCCATCAGCTGAGAGTAACAAGAAATCAAAGGTGAATGGAAAGAAGCAAGGAGGAGGTGATTTGACACATGTATTTGGTATGGGTAGCAAAATCTTTAAGAGTTGTAGTGCTCTGCTTGAAAGGCTGATGAAGCACAAGCATGGGTGGGTGTTCAATGCTCCTGTTGATGTACAAGGTCTGGGTTTGCATGATTACTATAGCATTATTAAGCAACCAATGGATTTGGGCACTATTAAATCGAGGCTCAACAAGAATTGGTACAAGTCCCCGAGAGAGTTTGCAGAGGATGTGAGACTTACGTTTCGCAATGCTATGACATATAATCCAAAGGGCCAAGATGTTCATATCATGGCTGAGGAGTTGTCAAAGATATTTGAGGACAAATGGGCTAGTATAGAGGCAGATTATAATCGTCAAAGGTTCAGTACTGAATATGAGATAGGTCTTCCACTGCTCACATCAAGAAGGGCACCTTCAATGCTTCCTCCTCCTCTTGATATGAGAAGGATTTTGGATAGATCAGAGTCGATGACATATCCTGTTGATTTGAGACTCAAATCCATGAGTACTACTCCCTCAGGTAGAACCCCCACTCCAAAGAAGCCAAAGGCGAAGGATCTTCATAAGAGGGACATGACATTTGAGGAAAAGCAGAAACTTAGCAACAGCCTGCAGAATTTGCCCTCAGAAAAACTGGACAACATTGTGCAGATTATTAAGAAAAGAAATTCGGCTCTCTTACAACATGATGATGAAATTGAGGTGGACATTGACAGCTTTGATACTGACACTCTATGGGAACTTGATAGGTTTGTTACTAATTACAAAAAGAGTTTGAGCAAAAACAAAAGAAAAGCAGAGCTTGCTATGCAAGCCAGAGCAGAAGCTGAGCAGGTTGTACCAGAAAAGGTAAAACCCTAGTCAGGCTTTAATATTTCTAATCCTCTTTCGGTCAAGTTGCTAATGGATTATTACTGTTCTTTACATGCAGGCCCCGGCCCCTGTTGTGGTGGTAGAAGTGCCCAAAGAAAATAGAACAGGTGGGTTTCAATTTGAGACTGATGTTAGTTCCTTCCTAAATACTTGATTATGTTGGTAACTTGGAATTTACATGCTTTTGCCTGCAGATGAAAGAAATATCTTAACTTTGACACCTGTTGAAGTCGAAAAACAGGGGGATAATGCAAGTAGGTCAAGCAGTTCTACCAGTTCTACAAGTGATTCAGGATCTTCTTCAAGTGGTATTGCAATTTGTTTAGAATCTTATATATATATATATATATATATATTTTCCTTCTTGCATCTCATGCCTGTACTTCTTGCTGTTCTGCATCTCAAACATGTACTTACCAGTGTTCTGCATCTCAACATTTACTGCTTGCAGACTCTGATAGTGAAAGTTCCTCTGCATCTGGGTCTGATGCTGGGCGTTCACCTAGGTCTTGATCATATCTATTCAGGTAAGATCGGAATTGCTCTATATATCTGCAGTTCTTTTGTTCACATTACCTTATGCTTGATTTCATTGGTTTTTGTGGAAGAGCAATTTTCTTTTTTGTATGCTTCATAACTCCATTGCCATTCCAAAGTTATGAAACATAGGTCTGTGGGTGCTAGCTTCTCATGTTTTTTGATGCATAAATTGTTAACATATGTATTTTAAGTTCAAGTTAAAGTGGTCAATGATGATAATGATAGCAATGGCTGTGGATGTCCTTGTAGTGGAATGCCTGTGACATAAGCAATGATATAATAGCTGAACAGGTGGATAATTTTAGCCCTTGCTGTTTTGGAAACCATGTAAGGGTTTAAGATGTTGATATGTGATTTTTTACCCCATGGATTTATACTTCTGATTTTTGACCAGTTCATAACTCAACACTGTTAACAGCATACTTTTTAAGAAGATTTTCCCAATCCCTAAAAAAGAGGACCCAGCACTATTGGGGATTAGCTAGGGAACAGTACCAGTGGGTAGATTTATACATATCTGGGAAGCAGTGGGTTTTCAAAATTGTATGGAGCTCAACTGTGTAATTTCTTTTCAATGATATAGAGTACTGTGTCTACTGGATCAGTAATGGATAGGATAGATAAGTGTTAAACTTGAAATCAGACTAATAAATGTTCGTTTTCCCATAAAGTTGGAACAAGAAGTGGCAGCCCGCTAAAGGTCCTAATTCTTGGGATTAGTTATAGAGTTAATTTTTTTAAAATAAGTGGCAACATGTCAATTATCATAGTTGTTTGGGGAAAGTTGGTGATATTTAAATACATGTTTCCATATTTATTACAATTTATACTATTGGTTTATTTTTTTTCATTTTTAAATCTGCTATTATTGGGATGTTGAATGTTACTTTGGCATCAAAAGAGTTAAGAATGGTTTTTAGTGGTTCTTTTTTTTTTCTGGGGGGGATATAATAATTTTGAATAACAACAAAAATAACAATAGATGTAAAATCTGTGGTATGACTGCTTAATACAGTGACTATTGGTTGCTTCATATCTTGTTTCCATCCTTGAAACTTTAGTAATTGTTTGGGATTGTCAGTATTAATAAGGAAAAAAATTATGGAAATTGATGACTTCTTACGTTTGCTTCATACTCTAGCATAGTGTTTGTGTTCACTATTATTTTAATATATGTTTTGTTGATCCGCATATTATTTTGATTTTTACTTCAATATGTCACAGATATTCTCTGCCCTTGATTTTATGATGGATTTCAGAGTTGTGAATATTAGGATAAGAGCAGTTTGACTTTGTGTGTTTCTTTGAAATCTTAAATGTGCTGTTTTCAATCACTGGGAAAACTATTAAAACTATTAGAAGTATTGTATTGCAAAATGTGCATGAGGTATGATGGCACAGGGAATTTTAAGTGGATGTCACGACTTAATTAAAACTATTAGAAGTATTGTAGCTATGAGACCAAAAGGAAAATATCTGCCTCTAGTTTGACTTCCAATTACTAAAACTGGTATTTAGTAATCATTCGCACCAAGCTTAAGGGTGTTGTTTGAGTTTTATTTAAAGTAGTTCAAATCTTTCTTCTAATTTTTTTTTTGGGTCTTGTGTGCCTTCTCCCATTTTCTTCTTATTTTCTTTTACTTGGAATTTGTGATTCAGAAAAGAACATAATTAAAAAACTGATGAATCTTATTTGACTTCTCTTTAGTAACTGTTGATTGAAATGAGAAATGCATTTATAAATTTATATGTTTGGGAAATATGGTTGGTTACATCTTCTTTTCGAAAATCCTTGTTTGAACCTTCCCTATATTTCCCTTTTGTGCTATTTGCAACTATTATTGTGTAGCCTTGTGAATGGAAAATATCAGATGCTTAATCAGAGAATGTCACATCAGTTGCTAAACTTGTTATATTCTGCTTCTTCTCTTGGCAGATCTCAAGAATTTAGGGTAGGTGGTGATCCATTGTGATTCAAAGTAGCATTTGGTGTAGATCAAGGTTCTTGTTGCTGTCAAGGATCCAACTTTCGGCAATAGGAAAAAGATGTCTGATTATTGCTGTTCATAGGAGCCAACTGAACCCTGCAAGTCGCTTAATTGTATTCTTAGAAATTTGTATAATACTGGTAGAATGTGGTGATGATTAGTTAGGCTCGGGTTGGTTTCACGTAGCATGTGTACATTGCTAACTAATGCTACTCAATAGCTTCGACGACTCCCTTTTGGTTCTTTTGTAGCAGATTATAGGATTTCTTCTGTTATATACAGAAAGTAATCTTGTAATTCAAATTTCTAGAAGTCATGATTTCCTCACTTGAAATGATATGAATCTGTAAGTTCTGTTCGGTAGGTAGTCGACGTGTAGTTATCCCAGAATCTAGTACATGGTGTTTCGGGTTTTATATCTATGATGTGGTATGCTGATTTCATTGAATTATTTGAACCAGGGATCGCTTGATCGTTCTCTAAATGATGGGCTGAGTGGTACTACCACTGAGTGGGATCACCGCTGGGTGGTATAGTGTTTCGACCCCAGCACGCCATCCCCTTTACCCTCTAAAAAAAAATGTAGTGGTGGTAATAGTTAATTTCCTTTTTTTCAAAAAGAAAAGAAAAGAAAAGAGATAACCTAAAGCATCCACTTGAAACAGGTACGAAAAACACAAAAATGATCCAGCCAACCCAGAGGCACACGAGCAGCACTATCGATTTTCAAGGGTCAAAAGTTTCTTACCTTAATTTTATTTTTTAACATTTGTTTAAGGCAATTAAATTTTTTAGATTATTGATATTTTAATACTATAATTTTTTTTTACTCATTTTTTGATATCTACAAATCACATTAAATATGACTAATTTGAAGTTCAATCAATTGAACCCAATAAAATAAGGATAAAAGTGATATTGTTTGCTTTTATTTTTCAAACACAACTTTTAATTAACAAAGTTTTCTTTACACAGAGAAAAAAATTTTCTTTTAACTTTGTGGACCTTAATTTCCTAGCCAATAAAAAAAATTTATTAGAATTTTATTACAAAACTTTTTAACTTTTTTCATATTACTTTTCTAATCCATTTTTGTAATAACTTTCTTAGTAGAATTGAGTTTCTAACCACAATTTAAAGTATTTAAATTTTTTATAATCATTTTTTATATTTTAATTGTTGGCGGTTTTAACTTTTTAATAATTTTTAGAAAAAGGGATAATTTTTTGGGATTGAGGCTCTTTTCATTCTCTTGGTTTATGATTTTGTTCATTTCTAATTTTCTTCCAGTGATATAGTAACTAGGACCATTCATACTTGATTCAAACTAATTTAGTTATGGTAATTTTTGTAAATTTTATATCTTTTTTATTTGGATAGAATGTTTAATTTTTTTTATAGTGACGTTGGGTGTAATTAATTTTTACTGTACTTTATATCTTTCTGCATTCGTATGAAAAATTTTTGTCTTTTTTTTTCTATTTGTCATTATTTTGATAGTAATTATTTTTTATTATATATTTGTATGAAAAAATATATTTGGTTTCATTATAAAATCAATTTTTTTGATGATATACTATATAATAAGGGATAATACTTCTTAATCTCTAAAATAGAAATTCAAATTCTTAACTAATAAAACATTCCTTAGGGATTTGGTAGGAACAATTTTATTTTCGTATTTATCACATAGTATTAAAAAGACCTATTGAACTTATTAAAACTTTCAAAAATAATATTATATTTTTTTATATTTTATTTTATTGTTTACTTCTACTAATACATTTTTTCTTCTTCTAAAATACAAAGACATTCCAATAACTTGCAAAGTGAACTGGATAATATTAGTATCAAATAAGATTAATGATAAGGAGGACAAAAATTTAAAATAAATGATGTGGCATATGTTATATAATTAAATTAACTAACACATATAATGTTGTGTGTTCTATAAAAAAAAAGGATCAATAATTAAATAATAAAAGATCCACCTTTGAATATTTTAAATAACATGGCTTATAATACATCATTGGTCCTGGATTTTAGTCCCAAATTTTGGTCTCATTTATTATTATTTATCAAATAATTGCATCTTGTCATTCAAAGTTAGACTTATTCATTAATGTTTTCTCAGCTAGTTGTGATGAACTTAGTAATAAAATAATGGATTTAAATATCAATTTAGTCTCTCAACTTTTAGATTAAGTGTTTGTCTAACCTGTACCCTAAGAGTATAGAGTAATGGAGTTTTAAATGCATTTTTTATACATTAAGTTACATAGAAAAATAAAAAAGTTAACATTAATTTTAACATCTGTGACACATGAATATTTTTATTAGACAATTGGTTTAATTAATATCAACTTTTATTTTTACTATGTATATTAATAATAAAAAGATGCAATAAATGTATTGTTATCTTGTGCCCTAAAGATATAGGATAAAAAAATCTTTAAATTAATGCCTAAAATTGTTCTTAAAGTCCAAAAAGTAGTAAAATTGCTCCTAAACTTTAATTTTTAGTACCAAAATAATCCCTAAATTTTAATTCAGTACCAATTTAGTTTTTGAACTTTAAAGACAAGTACCAGCTTAGATCTTGAACTTCGATTATAAATACCAATTTAGTCATTCAACTTTAATTGCATATTAATTTGATATGTAACTAGAAATATGTCACAATAGCAAAACATGATTATTTAATTTTGCATATCATTAATAGTTTTAAAAAGAACTAATTTTGTAACAAAATAATAAGTTACATGGTACTTTTGTTAATAGAAGGATTATTTTGATATCGAAAATTAAATTTTAGGAAAATTTGGACACTTTTTTAAGTTTAAGGATAATTTCAATACCAATCTAAAAGTTGAGGAACCAAATTGATACTTTAACCTAATGATGAGCTAGCTTAATTTAACGAGGTGTGATCATGTATTTGGACTGGCATCCCATGTCAATTGAAGTATGTTTACCAGAGTTTGGTGTCTTACGATTTTATTTTATTTTTTTTACGAAGGATTCTAATTATATTGAATTATAAAATATTAATTTTTGAATTGGAGCTGCTCCTATTATTAATAAAATTTCTTTCCATTTAATAGTGCAGTTGAAATTGTAGATTTCTAAATGAGAGAAAAGGAAAAATTAAAATGTCTTACCACTTTAATTGCTAGAATTTTTTAGGAAATTATTCAAATATTTTTATAGTATGTTTTGATTTGAGGGAAATGGAGGGAAAGGGAGGAAAGGGATAAATTTTTTGACCAATTAAATTATAATATTTAAAAGCTTTATAATTTGATTAGTTAAAAATCTCACTACTTCCTTTCACTCCTCTTCCTTCAAACTAAACATACTATTAATGAATTTCTTTTTATGTATTGATTCATTAAGAATATTTTAATCATTTCGTTATTGTTGCTGTCATTTTTCTTAATCCCTATAAATTATATGAGAAAAATGTTTATGGCAAATTTTAAAACCTTATTAAATTTTTATTAAAAAAAAATATTAAGAGGTTACATGGTATAAGAGTTTGAAATTAGCGATTAGCAATTTTATTTAGCCTAATGAATAAGAGTGTTTGAATTAATAATAATAATTATCAACAGTTAAATTAAAACAAAATTGCTAATTGTTAGTTTTAAACTACTACACTAAATAGCTCCTAAATCCTCTCGATTTTGTTAGTATTCATATTAAGTGTTTCCTATTGTGAAATCTAGTGCAAGCGAAATTTCAAAACAACTTTTTCTTTTATTGAACTATAGTTCTTACTAATAACTTAAATAGTTTGGTATAATCTCCTTTTTAGTGGAAGTCAAAGGCTTTGAATTTGAATTGCATGGTATATGGGTTGGGTGGAGTGGGTTAAGGGCTATGAAAGAGTTGCTTCTCATTGTGAAACCTTTTTTTTTTTTTTTCAAAGAAAACTATGTAGTTTTTAAAATTTTTGGCTTAACCCCTTGTGCCACCATCCACATTGTTGTCATTGTGGGTTTTAGCCCCCTAACATACAATGTAGGTTATTCAACCCATGCACTACTCGTGTCTTTGGCAATTACTCCAAAATTAATGGTAGATGAGCATGTGACTCACGTGTCTGTTTCTGCTTGTTAACTTATGTCTACTAAGTGACATATCACTACTACAACATTGCCACACTAGAATGAAATTTTCCAACTTGGATTGATAAGGCAGTAAAACTCCCACCAACTTATTGACCAAAAAAAAAAAGAAAGTAAAGGAACTTTCAAAACAAGTCTTTTACAATCAAAGTCACTCTCTACTTTAGTCAATCTTCTCAACTTTCAATATCCATTTACTACTCTCAACTACCATCAATTTCCATTGAAGATCTCGAATTGAAGGGACTACAAAGCTCAAGAAGACTCCTGTGCAATAGACTGTGTTCTTGGACTTGAAAATCATTATAGGTTTGTGTCATTTATTTGTCATTTTTAGGTAGAACATCACTTGTCTTATGCATTGTTGTAATAAAGAAAACAAGAATCAAAAGGTATCTTTGGTTTATGATTTATTGTTTAAAAGTGTAATAAAATAATGGGAGACTATATAATTCTATGTTTCAAACTAGTTATTAGGGAATTAACATACTTTAAACTACCATTAAGGTTTTGAATTTTATAAGTAACCAAATTAAAGATCATATTGGAACCTCAGACATAGGTTTTGTTTGGGCTTGTTTACAATTTAGGATTTTGAAGTAATTATGAAAGTAAAAGGTAGGTTTTTTTTTTTTTTTTTTTTTTCTCTTTTGAATAACAATT